GTTGCTACTTACTAGTGAACCCTTGTAACCCCAATGCACTTTCATTCAAACTCTTAATGGGAATATGGTGGAGTGTGTCAAAATGAAAACAATTTCTACAAAGAAAAAAGGCTGAATAGAACAGAAAAGGAAAGAAAGAGAGTCAGCGGCTGGATTGATGGATAAATGGATGACGCTAAACAACCGTCTGTTCCACCTGATCTGAAAATGTAACCCACACAAACACCTTCCGTGCCATTGGTGCCCGTCTAATATGAGCTGGCAAATCAAAAATGGATGACAATTTTTTGTGACGGCCGTAGAGCCTGGGAAGTGTTTTCTGCCGTCCCTAATGTGGCCATTCGGGTTAGACAACCACTATACAGAGTGTAAAGGCGTATGGATGCCTCTGTGCCGTTAGTACTCGTCTAGCATGAGCAACCTGGTAAAAAGTGCTCATTCTAGAATGACCTTCTGTGAAGGTCGCAGAGACTTGTAAGTGGGCTTTGGGTTTGCCCGTCCCTTTGGTACCATCTGCGAGCAGTCTCTGGAGTCTTCATGAGACTGTGCCCTTCAGCTGGTCCTGTGGTTGCAAAGAAGGTCAACATGCTAGCCTGTAACAGCCAGAGCCTCGTGGTCTTTCCTCGAGCTGGGGCCTCGTCAACATCGAACCCCGCGGGTCAAACTTGGTGAGGCCTATCGGCTCTTTTTGATGGCCTGCAAAGATACGGGCATCTCTGCCAACAAACGGAGTTTTCAAACTGAGATCAGAAGATGCTCCTGAATAAGCATGTGTTATGTTATTGTTCTTCATCAGTCTTCGAGAAGACGAAGCTAATGTGGGTCAGCGTTAACGTTCTCCAGAAGAAGGAAAAACAACATTAAAGAAGCAGCAATGATGCCAGGATTTGTAGTTCAGCAATTTTCTAACCTTCGACCAGTTGGTGTTAGCCTTCTGGTGAAAAATGTGTGTGCTCCCATCATGCCTTGGCGGGTGTAATATAGGTTTTTTTCTCGCAGCATAGACCCTCCATTGTGTGAATATTACAAACACATAATTTTGAAGCTCTTGTTTGCCACAGATGAGATTTTAAGTTTCTTAAAAATAAATCATTCTGCGTGAAAGAAAGCATGGAATCATCCACCAAAAAAGAATCAAAATAAATGAGACCCAAACACGAAAAAGCTGAAACCATATCTGATATATGCACCGCCTCTGGCGAGCGGAAGCACTCACATGCGGATCGGCGAGTCAGAGGGAGACAAACTGCTCACATTTACTCTGATGTGTTACAGGACTTTTCTGTTTTGCGGTTCTCTTTTTATGCGCCTCCTTCTCCGCCTCTTTCCTCCCTGCTCTCGTTTTCTTTGTATCTCATTTTCACAAGCTGTGGTTGCCATGGTACCTCACATTAATTCATACGGACGTCAAATCAACGCTCTGCTTATTACTACTTACAGTACCGCTCCCGGCCTCTCGCTCTGTCTCTTCCTCTGTGTGTGTTTGTGCGAGTGTAACCTTTTTGACCTTTATTTGTGTCTTGCTTCATATTTAAAGCTGATGTTTGGTTCTTCCATGTTTCTCAATGCAGCTTTCCAGCTAGTGTACACACACACACACACACACACACACACACACACACACACTAACTGATGCACATATGTGCTCCTATGATGCAGCAAACACACACATACACACAGAGTGTAGTAAGTCCCCATCCTCTCCCTCAACACACGCACACCTGACTTCATTATCTGCGCTGTACGATCTGGATGTCAGCAGCAGCAACCATGGTAACAAGTCAAAGAGATAGAGAGAGATTCACAGCCACTTCACACCGATGCATCATTAATGTCATTTAACTTGGCCCTCGGTGACACGTTCCATATCCCGTCTGTTTTCTCCTCTCGCTCCCCGTCTCCCCGCTTTCTCTGCAACCCTTCTCTCCTCTTCCGCCTCCTCATCTTTTGCTTGGCTTTTCTCTCCCCGGTCTGCGTCTCTCTTCTGATGACTCCTGATTTGTGTGTGTGTGTGTGTGCCGGGACATGTCCTACTGTGGACCCCCAATGAGGCTAATAACTAACCATCTATAAATTGAGTCGACACATTGATAATATTCACTGGTTTCAGACGTGCGCAGTGGGAGAGGATCCTCTCACGACAAATGACTGAGCCTCCCATTCTGCACAGCACGTGGAATCCATGATTATTACTTTTTTTTTTCACGCAAATCCATTCCTGCTGGGCCCCTGCACTTCCCTGCATTAATTGCTTTTGGTCTTCTCACATCAATTCTGTTATGATATTTCATTAATGGTGAGATGAGTAAGAGAAGGGAAGAGAAGCACTTGCAGAGTGTGAAAGTCTAATTAATATATTAGAAAGTTAGAAATGCTCTTTTCACGAATTCTTTGATAAATTCTTACAAAAACCCAGGAGTCTGGGCCTTAATGAAAGCCAGCTGTTTCAAATTCAAACATCAATTAAAGTAGCAGACACACAAGAACATATTAGACTATGTTTAAGTTTTTTATAAACTGCATCAGTTTGAGGCTTTGAATGGACAATAAAGCCAGTACATGCGTGTGTCCATGTAGTTTCTCTGATGACGACAAGGAGAGAAGATGAGAGGAGCTTGGTGGATAGATGGTGTTACAGTGCCACCTGCTGGTCACCGGTTGTACTGCAGGAAAGATCAATGGCATGGAGAAGAGAGGGTGAGCCGGGAACTTCAGGGTTGGTGGTTTGAACCCTGGCTGCTCCCTGTCCCATGTCGAAGTGCCCCTGAGCAAGACACCCTGCTGGCAGGCACCTTTACGGCATCCCACTGCTCGCACCGTGTGGGATGAGAACAACCTGTGTGTAAAATAATACTCGGCAATGAAAGTGGCTTCTTCTTCTTGACGGACAGGCAGGAGAATAAGCAGACAGGAAGTAAAGTGATCGGTTGGGGATGAATCTGTGGTTTACAAAATAAGACGTGAATGAACACTGGGACAGGTTTAGAATTCTTCTGGTATCTCATATTTGTCAACTTGGTTTTACTTCCTTGCATTGTTTTGGGATTGTTGTTATTGACAATTAATTTGTGTCATACTGTCTGTATGAGATGCACCCGGCTTTCAACTTAAAACCATCAGGCTCAATATTAGACGGGCACAACAACTGACCTGGTATCAAAACAGAGTCCCGGCGGGATTTGTGGGATTTTTGTAAAACAACATTTATAACATCCAATGCTGAATCACAGTCATCCTCAGAGCCTCGAACACTCAACGATTTGACAATAGGACAGAACTAAACCCTCACGGAGAGAGCAGGAGCCCACTTCAAGATTTTGAGTCCGTAAGGGATTGAGCCTTGGTTTTGTTGTAAAATCTGAGGTAATGCCAGTTTTGTTAGAAATTCATAGTTTGAAGTGTAGACGACCGCTGACCGAGTGTCTGTATCTAGTGGTACGAATGTGTTGCACAGCTCGTGAACGTATTGTTTCAGCACGTGGGCCGTTTAGAGGAGGACGGCTGCTGGGGGTGAGACTAAAGGTTTTTTTGGAATGGTACACATGTATTAATATATGCACATGTAGACGACACCATGTTATAGAATGAGTTTTTTCCAATTCAAAGACAAAACTTCCCTGAAGTACTTACGGATTGTGGATGAGGTATTTGTGCAGGAGAAAAACAGGAGAAATGATGATGCAGGTAACATAATAGAGCAGGGGTCTTCAAGGTTTTTCAGGCCAAGGACCCCCAAACTGATGGCGAGATGAAGCAGGGGTTTGGTCCGCCATCTTTTATTTTTGCGCTCTTTAGACGCGAGCATGAACGCGATCTGATTGGCTGCTGCCTGTGATGTCGTATTTACATGATAGGTGCTGTGAGTGAGCTGCTGTGGGAAGATGAATGTGTGTGTTGCGGACTGAAAGATGACGTCTCCTCCATCAATTTATCCGTTCACTACAATATGTTGGATTCATGTTAATGTGTATTTAAAGACAATAAATACAACTCTGATGCTGAAGACATTTAAATTTGACCCCCCTGCAGTACCTGTGCGGACCCCCTGTTGAAGACCTCTGTAATAAGAGGATTACATTTTAAGATGCAGCTCACATAACCGCAGTGTCTTTGAGTGCGCTGTTCCCGTGGGTCGCTTTGTTTCATACCCAAATTAACCTTGATGTAAATACCATCGTGTGAAGCCCTCCCAACCTAACTAATCTTTTTCTTTATTTATTTTCATATGTTAAAATAAACAGGACTACCTTTAGGCCATTTATGATCAAATAACCACCTGATTACTTGGTAAACAGCGAATTAAAGTGCTACAGGTGCTGAGCCGCAGGTGCATCAGCCTCAAATGTGGAGCTATAACCATGTTAGCAGCCTCGTCACCCAAAAACACTATTTTAAATCTGTATTATCATTATTGGATTATGGTGACAATGATGACAAAATAAATTGGAATACAACTGCAGTTTCACCCCTGGACACTAGACGTCTCTGCAGAGCTGACTCCCGGCTGTTTGCTGAACCATCTATTAAAATACGAGAAAAAAAGAATTAAAAAATACACAGCGATATCGTCCACTGAGCGATACTGATTTCTAAAGTAAGACCCACATGTAAAGAACTCGTGCTAGAAGGAGTAGAAATCAGAGCAGGGACTTTCTGAGATGACTCACTGTTTGTGGTCAACAAGACTGCAGAAAAGGAGGCATGTGGAAGGGGAGCCGAACACAGCAGATATATAGCATCCAAAACACAGACTGTTTACCATGACTAACGGCATGAGAAGGGCAGTCGCCAAGGCAACTGGGAAGCCCTCTGCTGAGGCCTCAGGAGGCGAGCAGGAAGCCGAGTGAGAACTGAGAACAGCAACTGAAACTGAAACAGCAGCTTCTTGGTGCTTTGGATCAACCGGAGTGAGCTCTGTGTGTGTGAGTGAGTGAGTGAGTGAGAGAGTGAGTGAGGGACACAACTGCTCTGACAGCACACGCACAAATAGTGTTTCGCACTTAGGTCTGTTGGTTCTAAGACATGATCTGTTGTCATTTCTGACTTAGAAACAAGGTTTTATTCGTAATGTCCTTAACATGCACGCTTTGTTCAGATCAGATGTAAAGATTCTCATGAGCAATGAAACTGGACTCGTTTCCCGTATAAACCGTCAGCAGTGATACAGCACAGACACCGGAGAATAAAAAAAAAAAACGTCTTCATTATTCAGATGTACATGTTGATTCACTAGTAGTTTCCATTGCATACACAGAGCAGCGAGTGGCTGAGCGGTTCGGTTGTTTCTGTGAACTGAGCGCGTTTTCCTCGGAGACGCCCGCGGCCCTTTTACTGGCTGCTGATTGGCAGAGAGCAGAAAGCAGGCCGGGACTACACCACCAGACACTTTTTCTCTAACCACATCATTACACCTCGTCAAGCTCGACCTTCGGCTGCGACGCCGTGCCCTTTGCATACGTGACAAATGGGAAACGGACTCGACTTGAGAAAGAGCACTTGAGTGATTCCTTTAAAGTGAATCACAGAGCGGGTCTGGAGCCGCGGCCCCAGACTTCCATATTTGAAGCGTTCTGTTTGTGTGCACAGCAACACGTAGAGCCTTTAGTCTTCAGGCACATTGGATTTTTACTTACAGTTAATGGCATGGGGATTCACAAAAAAGAAAGAAAAGCTCATTAGGATAAAAATGCATTCGTAAGTAGAAAAAAGAAAAGGCAGGTGTTCACAAAACAAAGCACAACAAAAACAATAAAGAAGTGCAAGCACAAGGAATAAAGAAAATCAAAAAGGCACATGGAGAGAAACGCCCATTCCAACGTCTGCCATGGAATGAGGCCACGCCGCCTTCGGTTCCACCAGTGCACGTCTCTCTAGTAGTTGGCTTCAAAACATTGGCAGATTCCTATTTGTCCTGCTCGAATTGTCCTGTGGCACGCTAGCTGCTAGCACACGTAGCCTTTCTGATACTCGAGTCATAACTTAACACTACACTTGATGCTTCTTTTTTTTTCTTCGTTCAGATGGATTCATACATCGCTAAGCTAGGCTTGCGCTAATAATACCTTTGAAAAAAAAAAAACTTGGAATATCTTCGATTCTGTAGCCATTGTTTGTCATTCTGTGCACACACTTGCATTGAAGGCCTCAAAATAGCTCTTAAAGACGTCAGGATGAAGGTGAGTGGCTAAGTGCTACAAGTTAGAGAGGATCAGAGAAAAAGAGGGAGACGGGAGTTTAGAGCCGGACTAAAAACCGTCAGCACCACGGCCTCTGCTGATGATGCAGTCCCCCGGAGCCCCCACTCCATCCGCCGCTATCGCACAGGGACACGCTCACTTCAGGACGTGCACGATCGTCGGCAGATCGCTGTCAGGAAGTTAAAGTGGACGTCTAAACCCTGAGATTCAGCCTCCTTCCTCTAAACCCTCCGACGTGTGAGAGGATGTTTGTGCCGTTGGAACCCAGTTAACCGGGTCAGGACACGTTCGCAGTGTGTGTGCACGCACGCACGCACACAAACCTCTCCGCCTCCCTTTAAAAGAAAACACTGCCATTACATTCCTGAAAGCCTCCTGCGTGCGGCAGACTAAATCACAGATAGCTGGGATCCAGCTACACCGCTTCAACGACACACACACAGCTGACTGTAAGGTGCTAAAGCTGCCATACACACGAGCTATGTACATTATTAAGGCCAGGGGGCCGAGGAGAGTTATGTTGTCCCTGGTGACTCTGCTGCACCTCCGTGTGGGCCGCTCTCTGTACCAGCCACGGGCTCCGGTAAAGCGTTTAGTGTCATGCTGACACTGCTCTGAGACGGCAGGTGATCAGTTCTAATGCCTCACGGTGAGACGACATGTAAAAGGTGTTGATTCAGAAATAAAATACTTAATTAAGTACAACAACAACAAAAAAAGCTTTCTATGATGAACAGCGAGGAACCATTAGTTTGAATGTATACGGATAAAAAGCACAACACAGCTGATGGATGTAGCGTCACACTAAAGGCAATCCTGACTCAAAGAACAACTAAAAGACAGTTTTCTCTCATTCCATCAGTGGCAAATTTCCTTGGGCATGCTGTACGTTTGGGTGCACAAAGCAGCAGAGGACACGGTCTACCGGGGACATGTGACCCATCATGCTTTCCAAACAGTGGCCGGATAGTGTCCAAAACGGATGTGGATGACCGTGAACTCCACATGTACATCATTCTACCCTCGGCCACATTTACATCACGCAGACCCGCACATTCAAAAAGGGGCGGAGTAATAAATCACAGCATCACCAGTCAGAACACTGAGAGACGCCACGCAGTAGCGAGGTGAGTGCTCCACGCCCCTTCTCCCCCGATGGAGGTAACAAAGTATCTCTGTCGTTCCTACGCCCTTGAAGCAGCGACGACGCGCCCTCGCTTGGGGGTCGGAGGTCAGGAGGGCGTCACATCCGACGTTTTCATGATGACACTCGCGCGCATCTCGTGGGTGTGGCTGGCTGGCGACGCCGGGGAGTTCCCGCCGTAGCTCGGCGTCCAGCCGTCAGTGTGGTAGCTGATGAGCGGGGTCGGGTCTCGCGTGCTGGTGACCCGGAAGTTGGGCTTGCTGGCGCTGACGAAGCTCGCCATGCCGGGTAGGGAACACGTGGGAACCCTGAGGACTGGCGTGTTGTAGTCCCGCCTCCACCCCACGCCGACATCCTGTCAGTCAAAGCGAGGGGGGAAGAAGAGGTATGTTGGCAAAGAACAGTCAAGCGGCACAAAGCTTTAGCTGACGCATGTTGTGGTAAAACATGGAGCTAAATAAGCACGTCTGTGACCACAGTACAATATACTGTACGTCCACAGTAGTTCTTCTAAAATGCATCACATATAAACAGTCTCAGTGTGTCGGTTATCCACACCGGTGGGCCCTTCCCGGTTTTCACGTGGGAGAGGTTTCAGTTGGTTACTAACAGCATATGTACACATAAATATATTTATAATAGATTCTTTCTTTTACTATCAGGATTTAAAGTAACTGTTTCTACATTACAACATAGATAAGAACCCTGTACTCTGATAACAGGTACTGTGTGTGTGTGTGTGTGTGTGTGTGTGTGTGTGTGTGTGTGTGTGTGTGTTTCCACTCGTACAACGTACTACAAATGACAACCTCCGATCAAACTGTTAATGTTTGACAGCCACAGTCCCCGACAAGGTCCTCCCTTTTCTCAGTCTTGCTCAACATTACAAGAAAGAACACACACACACACACACACGCACACACACACACACACACGCTAGCACACCCTGTTTCAGCAGGAAGGTTGTAGAAGCTAAAAACCAGTTCCTCCAAAGATTGCAGCAGTGAATCCTTCATTCATTAGTTTGTAGGGGAGTACAATGGAGACTCACGTCTTTGTTGTCCTCTGTGTCACTGTCTGTGTCGCTCCCTGTAGGAATAATAAATATGTATAAAATGCAGGCATGAAAAAGCAGTTCATTCATAAGCATTCAGGGAACGTCCTAGTTTGTTCACATGGAGGCAGAATTAAGTAAAGTATCAAAAGAACGGCAGATGGAATGATTGCAGGTGTGAATGATAGAACCCACTCTGCCGGAATGACTGGTTGGGGAGCAGAGGAGAGGAATACACGCCTAGATGTGAGATAAACACATGGGTGCACGTGTTTCTACTGAGCATGCATGTTATGGACTTCTATAACAGAGGGAGGAGTGCTTTCATGTTGGGTGTGGTACTTGCTCACTGCTAAAGGTCCATTTGTCAAGTGCCTCTCCCGGCCCAAGGCCGCTATATTGGCAGCTTGGCCGTTCAAGGAAGAGCAACAACTATACGAGAAAGAATGCATGAAAATGTAAATTGTAAATTTACTTAAATTGTGAGTAATTTGTATGCAAAAAATACATGAATGAATGAATGTATGTAATAAATATATTGCACTTAAAGATCAGATCTGTGGACTGTGCTTTATATTGATGATGCAATAGGGGATGATGTAAGGTATCAACAGTTCACGGGGTCATCGTCTCACTGTGTTTCAGATGTTATTAAAACAGCTGATTTGGGCTGGTGGAGCCCATAAGCACACACGTAGCATGAACTGCTTCGACAAGCCCGTTCCTAACCACCTAACCTATTTCTGCCGGTTACCGGAACATCAATGTGCTAAAGCACCGCGTGTAAGTGTGCGTGCGAGGGGGGGCTCACCGCCGCACGAAGACACCGGGGAGATCTGGAGCGGGTAGGAGTGGGAGGAGCTCACAGTCTGCTCTTCGTTCTCAGTGGTCACTTCGATGGTCTGACAGACGAATGGCAGCTGCTCGCTGGCGATCATGTGGTCTTCTACTGAACCGTGAATGGCTGTGAATGGACACATCGGATATGTAGTGACAGGCCGAACGCATGAATTATTGATCGCTCCATCTTGGGTGTGTGGAGAGACCAACACACACACACACACATAGCTGTTCGGGCGTGATTATTCAAGATATCAAATCAAAACACTGCTTTGATTTTATGTGAGCATGTGTGCACATACACACACCTTAAAATGAGATATGGAATATAAATACATTACATTACAGGTTTAGCTGACGCTTTTATCCAAAGTGACTTACATTGCATTTTAAACCATGGGTTTCGCAGCCGGGACTCGAACCACCAACCTTGTGGTTCCCGGTGCAGTTTCTCTACCCGTGCGCCACCGTCGACAACAATACATTGCGCAATAACAGTTATGACAGTCATTCTATCTAAATATAATGTTAATTTTAGTTCATGTGGATTTTTTGTCGATTTATAACTTAACTTCTAACAGTTGTTTTTTTAATCTTTTTTCTTCCCACTACGTTTCCTTTTCGCACTTTAACCTTTGCTCCTGAAAAGCCTGTAAATTTCCCCGCTGCGTGACTAGATCGGATCACAGATCTTAAATAATTTCAAATCCTAGATTTTGATCTCCTTCATGTTGGATCTAGTTTCTCCCCAACACTACTTTTTAAGAGACTGTTACAAACAGGAATTCAAAGACTTAAATAGATGCATAATACTTTGAAGATGCAAAATACCTTTCATTGTGACACAAACAATAGTGAGAACAGAAAAGTGCACTTGTTTGATGCATAGGTACCCAAGTCATTACTTGGTACTGACAGAACCCCCCAAGTCATCTGGGGTATGTGTCCACCTGCTTTGCACATGTACAGATGGAAATGTTTGTCCATTCTTCTTGGCTAATAAGCACTTTTCAAATCTTGCCATAGATTCTCAATGAGATTGAGGTGTGGGCTTCGACTGGGCCATTTAAAACATGAACATGCTTTGATCTAAACCATTCCATGGTAGATCTGGCTGGATGTTTAGGGTCATTGTCATTATGTGACTTGTGAAGTCTATTAGTCGCACCCGATCACGCCAGGGGGGCGTGGCTTATCTCTGTGAAGTCTCCGTAAAGACAGTCATCATTTCCGCTCTCCACCATGGAAATAACCACTATGCACTGTAGTCTGTACTTGGAAATGAAACCACCGTTCCATGTCAGGATGCTCGATGCAATGATTCCTCGACTGTGCAACCAGAAACAATCAAATGTAACGAGCAATATGTTGGTGATTAAACTTGTCTAAGCAGCAATATGAAATAGGCCTAAAACCAGGTATGACTGTAAATAGCTTTTGTACGCTAGTTTAAGGTAAAGGTATGTGGTGTAGTACCTGAGGCACTGTCCATCAGAGTAAACTCTGGTGGTTCCTCTTTGATCACTTCCAGTTTGATTATGTCCTGCGTGGTGTAGGCTATCGGTCCCACGGGAGCGTCTGCAGACGGAGACGCTACCTGATGGGGAGAAAAGAATGTTGATGAATAAATCTAAAAAGGACAGCGGCTTTAATCTCACAGCAGCAGATGCAGACTAGGAGTCAGGTGTGAGCGCCACATGCGTGCATACACGGCGTTATTAAAGGTGGGGAAAACTGTTGTGGCGCTTTAGAGAAAATGAAATCAAACTAAATGAAGCGGACCTTCCGTGGGGGGGGGGGGGGGGATTTCTGTGATGCCTGACGGGTGATAAAACACAAGCAGGAGAATTAACTGCAGGACACCAGAATCGCGCTCTTCTTCTCTGGTGTTATTGCGTTGCATTCGTGCTGCTGGTGCTTCAGCAGTGTTTTTTAAAAGCCGTGTCCCGTAATCGAGCTGTTGAGCGTCTACCTGTTTATTTGCCTTGGGCCGACCCTCCTTGTCAGTCTTCTTCTTTCCTAAATGGACATGCAGACAGAAACACACACTCTTGACAAATCAATGTCAAAGCCACGACATATTGATATATCATATGGGAGGGGTGTGTTTTTCTTTTACCAGGGCCGCAGCACTCACCTTTCTTCATGCTTCTCTCTGAGGAGGACAGCATCTTATACACCCGGAAGGCGTTTGTTCCCTTTTTGATGCTTTTGTCCTTCACCTCCTCGATGTCCGGCAGGCTGTTCATGGCACAGCGGAAGTTGGCCTTCCACGTTTTGGGATCTGGACGGTCTGTGCCTGGCTGGTATTTACCTGCATGCACACACAGACACAAAATATCCCAAGATTGAAACGGTTTGCAATTTAGAATGTAAAAATATATTACAAAATACTGTCACCAAAGTAACTATTGCTTCCTGGTACAGAATTAATCCATTAGGGTTTTGTTTAAATATTCTGCAACTATTCAACCACTTTATTCGGCTGTGGATTTGACCAGTGGTCCCCAACCACCGGGCCGCTACTGGTCCACATGCCATTTGGTAACGGGCTGCACAGATGGAATACATAACTTTTATTTGACTTTTTAGTCTAGTCCCATTTAGTTTAATGGTAAATCCCCCCTCAGGAGACAGAAGAGCCTACAACTTAAAAAAGAGAAAGCTTCATTTAACAGGCAGTCATACTGAAAATACGGGTTTATTGCCGGTCCGTGAGGCGGAAAACACAACATTTACCATTTTTTCTTTTGTGCATTTGTTGGGTATGACGATGCAGAGAATAAACTGTGACATGAGACTGCAACTTGGTTATTCTTATTTAGTTTGACCACAGCTTGCACACCCAAACCTCTATTCTTCCCAACCAACAAAAGAAGACTTTTTAAAACATTTTCCTCTTGACTGAAGCAGTAAGGAGTTTTAGGGCTATCTGCTCTTCGTGCTTCCTGACAGAGGACGCGTCAGAGAAGCTTTCTGTGGCCTCACTGAATATCAAACTCCTACAAGTTGGATCATTTAGTTTCCATCTGGGAATCTAAAGATTCTTTGATGTGAGACAGAGGCAGGTGTCTGGTCGGCATGATAAATGATAGAAAATGGAGACCGGCTGAGTGTGTGTTTACATGCGAGTGTTACCTGTGTGTATGGCCCATCTCATGAAGAGCGGAGCATCTTTCTCCAGGTCCCAGCCATGACGCGCAGCATGCATCCACGGGATCTGGAAAATTCGCTTTTCCTACAGACATTTACATTTTGTCAGTTCTTAAAAAACAATATTAGCCTGTGTGTGTGTGTGTGTGAGAGAGAGTGTAAACTTACTTTGTTAACCCATTTGAGTCCTGGTATCTGACAGGAATCGATCTGTTCCTCCAGCCAAGGCCTCATCCTCATCCTCTCTACCGGCATTGTGTCCTGTGAGCACACACACAAGTTTATTATTAATGACAACTGTATGTTTGATGACAGAATGACTGAATTCAACCAAACAAACAAGTCATTGTATTTATTTATTTTATTTCATAAGTGTCTACATAATGGTATACTAAATTAAAAGAAAGAACAAAACACAAAGGCTGGCTACTGTGTCCACCAATGTGTATGCATACTGAAGGCTCGCCTCACAATAAGAGCGGCTGTGTTTTTGTCAGTTTAAGAAGACCCATTCATATGTACATATGAATGGGTCTTCCCTGTACGGGCGTGCCTCTATGTTCCTGCAGTAGCCCAGAGGGAACAAACCAAACGCTGGCTCTCGATTGGGCCCTTCCCGGTTTCGAACTAAGAGTTCCATTTTATCTGCGTTGTAGAGATAAAAGTCATAAAAGGTCCATGACACTGAACTTAACTTAATATCTCACCTGCAGCCTCAAGATACCGACCATCTGTGTCCGACTGCAATCAACCTTAAATTACAGATCTTACAAGACAGGACAAGTGGGTGGACGATGGAAAGAACTATAACAGAAGACATGGAAGGCAGCATGTTGTTGCTGCAGCGTGTGACTTAAGAGCAGCGTTGTGATCCCTGCAGCAGCCTGATGTGGTCAAAGTCCGGTCAGCCCAGTGAGGCCGACGTAAGAGATCCCCCCCCCCCCCCCCAGGTCGAACAGGGTGACATGGCACTGCGTCAAGTGCAGCATGTTATCACTTTTTATGAGCCGTCCAACTGCGTCCAGCTCGCAGCACGAGTTGACTGCGGTACAAAAAGGTTCAACTACATGACAGCGGTCTGTTGTTTTAAAGCATGAATAGTATGCAGCATATTAGTTATGACTGTTAAATATAAAGTTTGTCCAGCTGATGAGGATAATTCATCAGTGTCAGACCAATGCTGCTAGTTGTAACACTATGAGGCAATGTGTTCTTTTTTTCTAATGGCACATGAGTCATACTTTGTTTTAATAGGTAGGAAAATCACCCCGGTAGTGTGGATAACGAAATAAAACACGTTGCCAGTTGCAGATCGTGATACGTTACTTCCGTTTCGGTACAAATGACGTCCTCCTGACAGCACTCTGATTTACTAACACCTGCACGGACTCCTGAATACAGCATGAAGAATGCTCACGAGCCGATCCGTTTGTCCGCACGTCGCGGTCCAAACTACGAAACTTTTAAAATGTCAAAGCGGCACAACGCGGTCCGTTTGTCTCCGGTTTGCTAGCGCGCCGACCAGAAGCAGGGCAGAAGTGAAAACCAATGTAAACAAACGCAGAGCGAAAACTACAAAAACTACTTTCACTTACACGTCGAGCTAGCGAGCCGTCCGCAGCGCGAACGAGCTGACAGGATGTTACCTGCGGGGCCGCGGGGCGGTGCGTGCTGTACCGCGGGGCAGAAAGCAGAGCCCCCCCGCCGGTTCTTTCTGTTTCTGTTCGGTAAGCGAGGGGCTCGAGCTGGAAACCCCCTCCTGCTCTCGCGCTCTCGCTTTGGGTCGATCCGAGCGGCCTCGCGGAAGTCACCAGCGCGCGCGTGCGCGCCCAAAGACAGAGGGCTCACTCTGGTTCTTATTTCTCGGTGCCACTGAAGCCAGCTGACCCAAACCACTGCGCCTCTCATGGTTCCGCTAATCGTTTCAGTTAAAAAGCTAATTGCGTATCAATGAAATAATATTAGCAATAAGGATGTTTTGTCATCTGTAGTCCTGGTGCAGATGTTACTAGTTTCCCCAAATGTACATAACATAATAATTAAAATGAAATCACCCCGCGTAACCGTGCCCTGTATAGATTATACAACTGTTAGAAATATTCACACTTAATACGCTTAATTCGAAACAATCCTAATGTCAATGTCGGATTGTAGCGCTTGGTCTGGTCTCACCTCAGACAGAGACGATCTTTGAGCTCGATTTCATTTTCACTTCCTCTGCTGTATCGCCTCCTCGTTCCCTTATTGCGCGGTCGATGATGGAAACGAAACAAGTAACTTAAAGCGTGCGTGTGTGTGAAAGACCAGACGGCTCACCTGCAGCTATTTAGAAAGTACAGATTTTCCCTTTACTGGCCTGCACCGAACAGATGTGCTATCGATAGAAATGTGGGTTCAAAAGACGAGCAGAGTACACGTTCACACTGAACACACAAGTTTCAATCAGGAAGTTGTTTTATAGATTAGTCAAAACTCAATAGTATCGGAATACATCTGAAACAAATGGTTATATAGGCTTATAAAGATAATCAAAATGTATTACTAGTACATATTATATATTACTACTTGTTCGTCTGTTTATAGAATAGAAACCATAGTAAAGACCAGCAGTAGAGGATGTGTTTGAAAAAAGTAGAAAAATGTTATTTGAACTAAATATGAGTGAAGAGTGTCAGGATGAAGTTATGAACAGCCATACTGTCAGGTCCCCGCCGTCTGGGCCAGTCTGGCTTTTCTCCATCCAACAACACACATACACTAAGACACCTGCAGCCAAGAATGAGGAGTTCTGATAAACTGAGAGCTAGTGAACACTTTCCCAGAAATACTTGGTAAACAAGTAACCCTGGTTCAAAGTATTGAGATACACAGAGACAGGGTGACAGCTGGAATGAAATACGCCACCCGCTTGTCTGCACACTCACACACGTAACAAAAAATATCTGTATGTGATGCACATGATCTGTTTGTGCATCAAGGGGTTAAATGTCAGTTCCTGGAATGTGTCCCTCTGCAGGACTGCTGATTTGTTTCAGTGAAAGACGGCCCTCAGAAGCCCGCGGCGCGTCTCTCTAGCGTCCCCTAGAGACTTACAAGAGTGTCCTCTTATACTGTTCATCCTTCATGTGAAACTGCTTCTGGACAACACTCCAAAGGCAGCGCAGGCAAAGGCAGGTTCACGGCCTCTGTCCATCCAGATGTATGGACGGGAGGTCCAAGGTGTGGTTGATTTTGGAATAAAGTGAACGAATATGATGATGAGTCATGAAAAGCAGCCCTGATGAACAAAAACATATCAAATATCTTTACTGGGTGTTTAGTTTGATTATGCTGCCACGTCCTGGGACAGAACTCCTTCAATAATAACAAGAAAGTAAGTTTGGCAGGGTAGTACTTCATCTTTATACATTTTAGGACTCGCAAAAAACTTCCTTACAGAAAAAAGCTTGAAGTGAAATGGGTCTAAAGTCTGAAACGGATGCAGTTTCCGGTAATTTAAAATCAACTGATGTTTATTTTACACTTTAATTAAATTAATTTTATTTTGTATAGCCCAAAATCGCAAATTTTCCTTAGAGGGCTTTACAGTCCGTACACATACAACATCCTCTGCCCCGAAACCCACCATCGGCACAGGAAAAACTCCCCAAAAAAATGAAAAAACCCTTCCAAGAGGGAAGAAACCTTAGGGAGAACGTCAGAGGAGGGATCCCACTCCCGGGATGGACAGACTACAATGGATGCCATGTGTACAGAATGAACAATGTATAATACATGCAATTCCTATGACAGACATGATTCAAGTAATTGTGAGTAGTAAGCCAGGCGCACTTTTAGATTTAGTTGCATGGAAAGTAAACACTTTTTTTTTTATACATAGCCAGAATTTGAGGCTGCAGCAGACAGAAGTTAAATGGTTGAAAAATCAGTTTGTATGTTTTATAACATTCATTGGGAAAAATATTCTAAAATGTATGGCAGTAAATCTGTGTCATCGGATTTTGAAAGAAAAAGGTAATTGAATTCAAAGCACTGAATATTTACACATTGAAATTATATATCTGAATGTTATTCAACGTTAAAATATTCAACCGCAAAAAATTCAACCGCACCATCTGGGAATCCAAATGTTTTCTTCTTCTTCTTCTTTTTTGTTCACTGGCAGATCGCACCAACTTAAAGGTGCATATACCGCCACCTACTGCACTGGAGTGAGGCCGGTCACGGCCTCCCTTCTATATCCTGTTGTACAGCCCCGTGTTCCTAAGAAAAATAAATACTGCCTTCATTACTGCCTCCTTCCCTTTTCCACCCCCAAGCACCCCACCTAAGTCCCAGCCCCGCTTTGTCTCCCTGACACTACCATACAACACCACCCTCTCCTTATCATACCTCCCACAGACAAACAGTACATGCTCAACTGTTTCCACCACATCACATCCATCACACAAACCTGTGTCATGTTTTGCCACCACTCTCAGCGTGCCATTCAACCCTGTGTGCCCATACCTTAACCTACTCCACACTACCTCTTCCCTCCTGCACCCCATCATTCCCCCAACCTCCTTCACTGACCTATTTATACCCCGGAAGTGCCTCCCTTTACCACCTTCACCCCACTGTCTCTCCCACTCCGCAATCCCTGCTTCCCGTATCAACGACTTAACCTCCCTGCGCCTTAACGACACCCTTACATCCACCTCAGTCCTCCTTACAGCACTCTTTGCCACCATGTCAGCCACCTCATTACCCTCCACTCCAGCATGCGCAGGAACCCAGCAGAACCTCACCTCTACTCCCTGTCTCTCCAACCCCAGCAATATCCCCATCAATTCTCCCAGTAGGTCTTCCCTGTCAGACCTACCATCCATAACACTGCTTAACACTGCTGCTGAGTCTGAACAAATCAGCACCCTACATGGTGTCACATCCTCCACCCATCTCAACCCAATGATCATAGCCACCATCTCTGCTGTATACACCGACACATTATCAGTGACTCTTTTACAGATACTCACACTGAACTCAGGCACATGCACTCCTGCACCCACTCTACCCCCATTCACTACCTTAGATCCATCAGTGTACACCCTTACAAAACCATAAAACCGTTTACAGACATACTTCTCCACACACACACTCACGTCCCCCTTGCCCCACTCCCTCCTCTCCTCCATCATGCCTACATCCACTCTTGGCATCGGGAACATCCACGGAGAGATGGGCCCCAATGCAATCGCTGGCCCTATCTCTATCCCCTCTAAGCCATACTCTATCACTTTCTGCCCTATTGTCCACCCATACATCCTCAAACTACTCTTGTCCCTCTCCCAACACTCCCTCGTTGCCACAACCGCCGCGTGGCTTTCAGCACACCCCTTCAGCCTGCCCCAATACGCCAGCGCCAACTTGTCCCTCCTCAAACTCAGTGGCAATTCCCCTGTATCCACCTGCAACACCACTACTGGAGTGGTCCTGATAGCCCCCACACACAGCCTCAGTGCTCGTGATTGCACCCTGTCCAATCGCTGTATCACCCTCTTGGCCGCAGCTCCATAAATAAAACACCCATAGTCTATCGTGGATCTTACCAGTGCCTGATACATACACAACAGTGTCCTCCTATCTGCCCCCCCAGTCTACACCTGCCACAGCCCTCATCAGATTCAGCACCTTCCTGCACTTCTGTTCTATAAACTCCACATGTTTCCTCCATGTGAGCCTTCCGTCAAACCATAATCCCAAATATTTAAACTCTAACACCCTTCCCAATTCTTGGCCATACATGTGTAACCGAACCTCCCCCACCCTCCTTCTCGAGTACACCATGAAACACGATTTAGTCACAGACATCCTAAAACCCCATCTCTTGGACCATTCCTCCACCACATCCACCGCCTCTTGCATCTTCCTCATTACAAACTTTTCATTCTTACCTCTCTTCCACAAAGCCCCATCATCTGCATATAGTGCCCTACCCATACCTCTCCCTACATCCCTAAACACATCGTCGATCATGATTGTAAACAACACAGGGCTAATCACACTGCCCTGTGGGGTGCCATTAGCAACCTCATACCTCTCTGACAATATTGTCCCAACCCTCACCTGTATGTACCTGTCAAACAAGAAATCCAGAATCCAATTATACATTCTGCCCTCAACTCCCAATGCACTTAACTTCATTAACACCCCCTCTCTCCACATAGTGTCAAACGCCTTCTCTATATCAAAGTACACCACCACCATCTTCTCCTTCATAGCAAGTGCCTTGGCTATCTCTGTGCTAACCACCACCAGTGCATCCATAGTAGACCTTCCTCTCCTGAACCCACTCTGTGCTTCACTCATCAATCCCTTACTTTCCAGGTAGAATATCAATCTTTTCACTATCATCTTTTCCATCAGTTTACATAGGTTTGAGGTCAACGCTATTGGTCTATAGCTATCCACCTTCCCTGGATCTTTTCCCGGTTTAGCAAACGGCAGTACTACCAAATCCAAATGTTATGTGCCTTGTTTGTGTTTGTACGTGTGTGCGAGTGTGTGTGTGTGGACGAGTGGGTGTG